ATAAACTGACTCTTTGTTGACAATCCTATATATTTTACTCCCCTGTAAGCATAGAATAATATTTTACTCCGCTGTGAGCATAGACTATTTTTAGTTTATTCTTTACCAAAAGAAAAAGTGTTTTATTCCTTATCACTAACTTCATTCCTTCAATAATGTCAAAAGATTCTGATACTGAATGAGCTCCCAGACAATAATTGATGGAGAACACATGTCATCATGAGAGCACAAACATTGGTTTTTCTGCACAATAAGCATCCATCACAACAAATTTCTTTCATTTTTGCAGTGCCTGCTAACCCCCACCAGGATTCCAGCAGTCCCTACTCACCATCTTCCTGAAAATCTCATGATTCCCCCACTTAATTATTCTCATGTTCTTAATTTGGGAAAGGTTGGTGTCTTCTCTGGAGAGGTGCTTTTGGTTCAGAATTTCGTATAAAAACATCTGTTTGGTTTGATGGAATTCAAAATGATCAATGTTATATATATATATATATATATATATATAAAGAGATGATTTATATTTAGTACAAAGAGGTCATAATCACTCTTGTCCATAAGATTTTGGACCGGATAGTTGCAAGCACGTCATTGACTAGACTAAAAGAAAAATTTTCGAACTTCATGACATACCCCAAGCCATCAAATTTAACATCTTATGGCTGAGAGTGATTGTTGCCTTGCTATTCTATAGTACTTCACGTTAATATTGAACATAAAATTTACTACACTAAAACTTAAAAAGATTAAGTTGACTTTTTGAATGGTAAGTGGATCTTTAAAATAATCTAAAATTATAAATATAATCTTCTCAAAAGTTTTAAATAAGTTATTGTTAAAAAACAATTGCCGTAAAAAAAATTGGAGTTGGAAATCTTAAGTTCACCGTTAGTATGTTGTTTGTATATAAATAGAGAGAGAACAATAATCTCCTATTTGAAACATGTAAAAAAATTGAATCACATTGTAGAGCTGTGTACTGGACTCGGTCGAGTTAATCAGTTCGTCCTATCGGTGAAGTTGAGTCCCATAAAAAATTCAAAAATTAGAAAAAATTGTAAAAAATGAAGTTATAGTATACAAATTTTCTTACATAATTTATATATATTTGGAAATGATTGAAGTATGTTTTTTGTTATAAATCTCTATTGTTACTTTCGCCTTTTTTTTAAAAAAAATTGTTAAAATTCCCCAACTATGAATATGTTTTTTCTAAATCCATTTTTCTAGTACTTTTTTAATTTTATTTGATCTAAGGAGGGTGAGCACCTTAAACTTTTCCTTAACCCATCCCATGCCCAAGTAAAGGGGCATGATGGTTGTTAGGTAGGCAGCCAATGTAAAATTTTATCCAATCTCATCATGAATCATGATGAATTATAATATATGTTTATGATAGGGTGTTCCCCAGAAGAGATGTGCTATACCAGACCCCGGGTACAGTGATAAATGAGCAAGGGTTAGCTAGTGCGTTCCCCAGAAGTGACGTGCTGCAGCACCGCCCGGTTGCGATGAAAAATAGACAAGGGTTCCCGTGACACCCTGGACAAAAGCGGGTAAAGAAGCTAGTCCAAGATAATAGAATTCGTTTAACCACATGGAACGTAGGAATGCTTACAGTCTGAAAAGATATGGGGACTTATGACCTCATTGAGGACATGACATCTAATAGAACAGAATGGAGAACCGGGATTTATTTAGCCTACCTCAATTAATTGGAAAAAAACTAAAATGATGATGATGTTGATCTCATTTTTTTTCAATTTATTTAGAGTTTTTAGCCTTGAGGACTCGGCCAAAAAACTCACCTTCGCCAAAGGTGAGTTTTGTTTTGTGGCTCTACTACAGGGGAAAAATATAGTCTACCTACAATCAACATCCAAAAGGTTAAAAAAGCCTTGCAGTGGCACCCAAGAGTACTTTGGTTAAGACTACCTTCCCTCGTTCTAGCTCAATGTTGACAGGCTTAGGCTAAGGCTATCTCCTAGACCTTACTTCCCAAACAATGATTAAAAAAATCATCGGGCTGACTAGGGACTTGCCTGTCAGCCGGGATTGGAACCCTAGGAACTCCGGAGAAAGACCTCAGAATCACCCTGATTGTCCCTCGGCCGGGCAGCCAAGAGAACCATGCACAACTTTAACTATTGTCCCAAAACTGCATTCTAAAAGCCTCAGCTCCAATATCCAAATCAGAGAGATTTACTCGGGCGAGTCAACGTACAATCGGGCCGAGTTACTCAGCCGAGTCCGAGGGACCTCAGCCGAGTTTGAGAACCATGCTATAAGCTAATGGACTCCAGAAATGAAAACATAATACCTTTGGTCATCTCTGTCCAAAAGTAAGGGGCAGTGATTAAGAAAAATTGTAATGGACTGTTTTGGAGATCCAACAGGATGGATCATTGGGAGCCATGTCCCTCCAAGTCCTGCATACTCTCGGTCACCATCCATCACTTCAATGGTGTGCAATGCCCACATGGAGTAGTAGTGCTTTTTCTGGATCCATCAGATAACCGCAGTACTTATAAAAAGCGGCAAGTTGACTAGGACCTGGTAGAGTATTGAGACAGTTTTCGGCCCGACCCTTTTTCACATTAAAAAAAATGCAAACAAAAGATTTTTTTTTTAACCATTTTTTTGTTCTTTTTTCAATCAATAATCCATTTCCAACCCTTGTTTTAATCAATCTGGGCACAAATCAAATCTTCTTAGCTTCAAAGAATCATTATTTTGATCACAAATTGTAATTGCAAGATTTTTTTTTTTTCCCATAAGAACCCCTAATCTTTAGCCCTAAAATCCAATCTGCATTCTTTGCAAATATCTCATATTTTTCACCTAAATAAACTAAAATTTGATTCAAAATACCAGTATCGGAGCTCTCAAACAGAACCCCATAACAAGTTTTTAGATTATAGCCAAAATAGAAGATATCGAGGGCCCAAATTTAAGAGATATTTCAAACTCAAGATCCAAAGTACTTAATTTCTTTCTCATTGTTTCACAAAATACATTCAAATTTGCCCCTGCCCCGAAATGTTTCTATTCGCAAAAGGCTTGACAAATTTTTTGGATCAAAACCAAAAATCTCTTGGGATCAATTTTTGGTTTTTTTGTTATTTTAATTTCCTAATATGTTTTTTCGTTTTAATTTCTTGATTTTGCTTTCGATTTGTACCTTCTATTAGATGATTTGTCCCAAAATATTTTTATCTGCAAAAGCATTAACAAATTTTTTGAATCAGCATTATCATTGCCTTTTTTTAATTATTTGGGATCCACAGCACGACTCTTAATCCATCATTCTGCTCTATTAAAAGACATACCCTTAATGAAGCCGTAATCCTCTTTATCTTTTCGAACTACTTCCAACCAAGCATCTTTTGAAATCAATTTTTGGTTTTTCGATTATTTTTCTTCCAAATGTGCTTTTTTTCAGTTTAATTTCTTAATTTTGATTTATGATTTATCTCCTATTAGATGATTTGTCCCAAAATGTTTCTATTTGCAAAAGCATTAACAGATTTTTTGGACCATCATCACCATTATCATAACCTTTTCCCAGTTAATTGAAATTGGCTGTCATGGTATGTCATTATGCTCTATTAAAAGCTATACCTCAGTGAGATTGTAAATCCCCACATCTTTTCGGACTACTTCTAACCAAAAATCATTTGAGATTGATTTTTGATTTTTTGGTAATTTTTCTTCCCAATGTATTTTTGCGTTTTTATTTGTTGATTTTGATTTCGATTTGTATCTCATATTAGATGAAATCCAATATTTGATTCTCTTTTTTTTTCTTTCAGACTTTTTTTGTCTTTCTTCTTGTTTTTTTTCCATTCTCTTTTTAAGATGCCTGAGTTGGGTTCAGCTGGCTCGGACCAGGCAAATACCCAATTCAGCTACCTAAGCAGGTTTCCAACACTTTGCTTTATAGCATATGCCAAACTGGTTTAAGAGGAAGCGCCAAATTGATATTTTTATCAAAATTCAATTCGAAATCTTCTTTAACTGATTCGCAAGGCACCCAAATGGAAGTAATCTTACAGGAAGCTATAAGCAGTTAACAGGCAGAATTGGGCAGGCTTCAAGAAAGAATAGTGCATAGGACATATGACCATCTACCCACGAAAAAAGCGGGTGCAGCAAAAGAAGCATCTGCAGCTTTGTTGGGGAGAGGCCATGTGAGAACAAGAGCTTAAAGACAAAATAAGAGGATGGTGGGGGCCATAAATTAGTTCACTTGAAGCTCCAAACCCCCAAAATCATTCCCCCCCCCCCCCTTCCAACTCTTTGTCCACCTTCAAAATTATATTATTCCTCACCACAACCCAACAAAAAGCACATCAACCCAACAGAAGAGCCAACAATTATTCCCATCCAAATGCAACCCTCCAACCCTTTCTCTCTCTAAATTCTCTCTCCCCCAAAAGCCGGATTTTCCTCCCGTGCATCCAACAACCCAACTCCTTGGATAACCCCAAAACCCACACTTTTTCTCCTTGGATTTTGTATCAGCAAAGCGGATTCTCCTTGCCCTATTGCATGTATATATATATCCATCTGCATATATACATGCGGACACATATGCACAAAAGCCTCAAAGAAGACCACGCCTATTAACCCCCTCACAGAATTCAGGAAAATTTCCTCAATGGGTCGGCACACTGAACCGACAGAGGTGCAATCTTCTATAGCTCTCCTGCAAGAAAGATTCAGACAGTTGCAGAGGATCAAAGAGATGAGAGAGGAGAGAGAGTTTCGACGACTCTTAATTGGGGCAAAGATTGGAGGCATTCCTGATCAGTGCAATGACTTTCTTGGCCATATTTGTTCAGAACCAACTTCCCCATGTAGACCTCGAGGTCCTCTTGTTCATTCAGGTTTTCCTCCCGAATTGGAGAGGCAATCCCCAGAATTCCGAACAGTGGAGATACCTTTTTTTACAACATCTTGGACGAATAAAGCAAATGGACGCTTCAGACTCGAACTTGAAGTGAACAAATGGGAGGATACAGAGGTTGATACTTCGCTTCATCTGTAGAATACATAAATTTGTCTTTTTTTCTTTCATGTTTTTCTCCTTTTTTCTTTTCTTTTTTTTAATTTTTTTGGTTTTGTTAATTTAGTGGGGGTAAAAATGCAGGAAGTGCGCTACTGTTTAATGTAATTATCATGGTCATCAGTGTCCCTGGCAATAAGATTGTGATCATCGGTGTAGCCATCTTCAGCCTTATTTTGATATAAACTTTCTGGAGCATCAGTCTTGTCCACGTCCTGGTTACCTCTCCATTTTCTCTTCATGATTCTTGGAACTACTCGAGTCACTGACTCAGCATCCAGTTTGACATCTTCCTCGTTTATACGTTCAAATCTAACTGCACCCACCTTTCTCGCATTTCCCTCCAATATCTGTGTGGCATGTGCAGAATCAGCATAGTGAGAGAGAGAGAGAGAGAGGCATGCATGGATTAGCAAAAATGCTAAGCTAGTAACTGAAATAATTGTGATACGCTTAAGACTTAAGAGGCAGAAAGTAATGGCAGAGGCCCTTTGCTGGTATTTTCTTGCTAAACATGAAATTTCTCTTGCAAGATAAAATAATAGATTTGCACATAAAGAAAGGGATTAAAATATAGCAGCACATGTTGCCTCACTTGTGCTGCAACCGTAACTCTCAAAAAGCATAAGGTATGAATTGAAAATTAAAATATATA